TTTTTTGGTCTTTTTGAGACAGGGTCTCCCTGTAGCCCCAGCTGGCCTGGAACTTACTATGTTGATCAGGTTGGCCTTGCATTTACAGAGAACCACCTGTGTCTCTGCCTTCCAAGTGCTGGAATTAAAGGTGTGCACTACCACACCCAGTTTATTTTTATTTTTCATGTGTATGAGTGTTTTGCCTGCATGTATGTGCACCCATGTAGTACAGTGCCCACAGGGGTCATATGAGGGCATTGGATCCCCTGGAACTGGAGTTATAGATAGTTGTTAGCTGCCATGTGGGTACTGGGAACCAAACCTGGGTCCTCTGCAAGAGCAGCCAGTGCTCTTAACCAATATATTTCTTTAAAATGTATTTTTATGGAGCCAGGCATGGTGATGCAGAGGCAGGCGGATCTCTGTGAGTTCAAGCCCAGCCTGGTCTACATAGTGAGTTTCAGGCCAGCAGGGGCTACAGGGAGACCCTATCTCAAAAAGACCAAAACAAAATCATTTTCATGTATATGAGTGTTTTACCTACATGTAAGTGCACCATGTGTGTGCAATGCCTGGAGGTCAGAAGAGGGTGTCAGATCTCCTGGAACTGGAGTTATGGACAGTTGTTAGCCACCATGTGGGTGCTGAGAATTGAACCCAGGTCCTCTGCAAGAGTAGTCAGTGCTCTTAACTACTGAACCATCTCTCCAGCCCATTTTTATAATACTTTTTATTTCACTATTTATTATTACTACCTTGTGTATGTAGGAGTGGATGTCAGAGGTCAACTTTTGGCTTCCCACAGATGTTTAATGGAGTGTGCAGGGATGCTTGCTTACTCAGCGAACAAGGCCACACTTAGCCACACCCACTTACCCAGAAGCCATTGAGTAAGGAGCTTGAAACAGCTGTGCTGCAACTAGTCCCTTCCCTCTCCTCTTCTCCAGGTCTCTCTGGGAGGATGACACGTGGTCAGGCCTGGGCATCTACCCAGAGAGGAGCCACTGGCTCCTTTCCCCCAAATGGTTCAGGCAGGTCTGGGCCACACCCCACCCACCCTCTTTGTGGGGGGAGTTCAAAGACTCTCCAGGTTCTTTCCAGTAAATGCAAAGCTATTTTAAAACTTCAGCTGAGAAGCTGAGGATGTAGCTGGTGGAGTGCCTGCCCAGCATGCACACAGCCCCAGCACTACACTTGGAAGGTGTGCACTTGGGAGGTAGACACAGGAGGATCAGAGGTTCAAGGCCCTATTTCTTAGATAAAAATTCAGCAGGGTGTGGCACATAAACAGGGGAGGCAGAGGCAGGTGGATCTCTGGGCTACTTAGACCATCTCAAAAAAACAGCTGACACAAATGGGTGCCACCTTGATGCTGGTGTGGCTTGACATTATTGAGTACCTTTGGTGGTAATCCTCCACATCATCACATAGGCTCTTGGATTAGCTGATACTACCTGGGGCATGGGGAATACAGTGTCCCTAAAGTGGTCTCTGGTACTGTTGAAAGCCTGACATGAGGTGACTGGTTGTGTTTAGACCACCTGCCATTTACTGTGTGGCCTTGGGTAACTTATTCTCTCTGGGCCTTAGTTTCCTGCTCTGTAAAATGAGGAACTTCCCTGCTATTGTATTGAGGACTAGATGAGTTAATCTGTGGGAAGTTTCCAGCCTGACCTGGCCAATGTCCTGGTAGGTTGGTTGGCTGGTTTGTGTGGTGCTGTCGATGGAACCCAGGGCCTTGTATGTGCTAGCCATGCCCCGTCTTCTGCTTGGCTGTGGGGGTGGGGTGTTTGTGCACAGGTGCACTTGCCCATGAGGATGCTGTTGTGGCGGCCAGAGGTCAATGTCGCATACCTTTCTCTGCCACTGTTCATCTTATCTTTTGGGGCAGAGTTTCTCAGTGAACCTGGGGCTTGCCATTTAGGCTAGGCTGGCTCTGACTAACCAGTGAGCCCCCAAGATCTGCCTGTCTACCACCCTCAGCACTGGGGTTATAGACAAAGAGCACCCTGATTTGTTTTGCATGTGTATGTTACAGATGCATAGTGGGGAGGGGGGCAGAGCATGTGCACAGCACTCATGTGGAGGTCAGAGGACAACTTTGTGGAGTTGGTCCTCTGGATTCCAGGGATTAAACTCAGGTTGCCAGGCTTTGTACTGCAAGTGCCTTTACCAGCTGAGCTAGCTCATCCACCCTGTTTGCTTCTTGATGAGGGAAGAGGGGCTGTGGGCTCAGACTTCCCACTGCGGGCACTGCACAGGAGTGTGTGGTTCTATGGCTCAGATCACTTGAGAACTGACATTTCCTGGGTATTCAGTGGCAGTCAGGGCAAACTACCAAGTGACTCAGGCATGTTCCTCAGTGCCTCAATTTCTTCTCTTTAAGATAGGAAGAACTCTCATCTGCCCCACAGGAGTCAAGAGGCCACTGGATGCTCAAGAGACAAGGTGGCCCTGGGAGATAAGTTGTCTTCATACTACAGAGATACTGAGTCCCTCCTCCCCCAAAGGATCATTGGGGAATGGGCCCAAGGCCATAGAGCTGGAACCCACCTAGCTGCTGACCCATCCCACTGTCCAAGCCCTAGGGACTTGGAAAGTGCTCTGCAGACAGAGGCCTTTCCGCTGGATCCGTCTTCCCTCTGGCTCTCTGTCCTGTCTGCAGCTGGGATCTTGCAGCTAAGCCATAGGCCTCTGCCAAAAGGCCCTTGAGGGAAGTGAGGCAAACTGTTACCAACACCCAAACCCTGGGGAGCTCTTACCTCCTTCCAAGCATTACCTGCAGACACCTGAGCCTGGGCAGCAGGCTGTGCCTACCTCTGGACTCTGCCCCTGGGAGTAGTTCTGGGTTTTTGCTGCTCTGTGCAGAGGGGTGCAGGTGGCAGGAGTCAGATAGCACACAGTACCCAGAGCAGAGAAGCAGCACACAGGGCACGCCTACACTCTGATGTGACCTTCACACAGGTGCATTAGTATGTAGACTAGGGGACTGAGGACTGTCCCATCCCTCAACCCCGCCCCCCCTTGTGAGAGGGAGGAAACTGTCTTGGGGAGTCAAAGGGTAGGCCTCTGGGTTCCTCACAACTGTGTGACCCTGAGTAAGCTGGCTTTTCTGAGCACCTGTGCTGCTCTCACTCCCTCCTTTTCTTTTGTAAAGACAAGACTACATGAGACCAGGCTGGCCTTGAACTCCTCATCCTCCCCTTTCCACCTCCCCAGTGCTGGAATTACAGGTAGGAGCTGCCATGCCTGGCTTGAGCCTCTGTGTTGTATATAAAATGAAGGCATGGGAGGCCTCACTTCCCAGGTGGTTAGGACAGCTTAGCACATAAATGCTCAAAAAGTGCTACCTCAAGTCAAGAGAAACTAGGTGTAGTGGCCCACTCCTCTAATCCCAGCATGCGGGAGAGCTGGGCAGGTGGACTGCTGTGACCCATCACACAAAACCAGAAATAAGTAATAAATAAATAAATAAAAATAAAGTCAACAGACAGTTCTGGACATCGTCTCCAAAGCAGATGCAAAAGGTGCTGCAGACAGTGGCCACCTGCAGAGCTGGAAGCCCACTGTTGCTCAGGGCAGCACACTACCTAGAGTGGCTGCGAAGCCCTGTGTAGGTCTTACATTAATAACTACAGGTAGCTCACGTCTGTTTTGTGGCGGGCACAGTGGAAAATCATGTAAGCTAAAGAAGTCCACTCGACAAGGATCTGTGGAAGTAACTCGATTCCTCACCAAAGCCCTCTGAGCCCCTTCCATCCACAGAGGAGGGACTGGACTGTGGGAGGGCGACAGTCACACCTCCCCATCCCGACCCTCTCCGCAGGCGCTGGGGCTGAGACCCGGAGTCGTCACAGTTCGTACCCCGCGGGGACGGACGAGGATGAAAGGATCGAGGAGGAACTCAGCCCCTTCCGGGGCCGCTCGCGCTCGGCTCCCCCCAACCTCTGGGCCGCACAGCGCTACGGCCGCGAGCTCCGGAGGATGAGTGACGAGTTCCAGGGCTCCTTCAAGGTGAGCGCCCGGGACCGGTAGAAATGCCGGTCACCTACCCATCCCTTCCGAGGTCCAGGGCGTGTCGGGATGTGTAGTCTCGGATCATGGCTCTCCGGCTCTAGCCGTCTGTGTTCCCAGGCATGCCGGGACGTGTAGTCCTAGGCCCCCACGACGCCCCCTAGCCCTTCGGTCCTCGGGTGTGCTGGGACTTAGAGTCCAAGGATTTTTTTTTTTTTTCCTTTGTCCGAAACTGCCCAGCCTGCCCGCCCGCCCTGTCCCAGGGCATGCCGGAACTTGTAGTCCCAGGACCTTGCCGACCCCAGATGCTCAGGGCGTGTCCCTGGGTTCCCCGGGCCTTAGAACACGGGCTTTCTGGTGTCTGAGTTCTTGGGCTCCGATATCGGAGCCCCTCGATGATTCTTGAAATCAGCCCCATCCTCTAGATACCAGGTCCGGGGCCTGGCGTACCCCCGGCCCGACAGGAAGTTCCTGGGCCTGCGCATCTTCGCGCCCGCCCCTCTCCCTGACTGCTCCGCACAGGGCAGGTTGGCGGCGCGGTCTTTACATTAGAGCCGGCTGGTGACTCGGGCAGGGTGAGCTCTCCTAACCCTCTCCCCTTCTATCCTGAAGGGCCTTCCTCGCCCAAAGAGCGCGGGCACGGCGACACAGATGCGGCAAAGCTCCAGCTGGACGCGAATCTTCCAGTCCTGGTGGGATCGAAACTTGGGGAAAGGAGGCTCCGCCCCCTCTTAATGACCCTCGGTCCCACGTTCCCGGAACTCATCCCCCAGCTCCCGTCGCCTGCCATATTCGATGTGGGCGGAAGTCTTGTGCAGAAAGAGGATCATATCCATTTAGCCGGGAGATCAGACCTACAGCCTGACTGCTTTCTGGTGCATGCCATAGCCACGGAGGAGTGGCTCTCGTCGGAAGTTTTAAAGTTTTCCCAGCCACAGTTACCGGAAGTGGCCCTATGTCCCCTCCTTCCCTCCAGTACTGGGCCACCCCCAGGCGCCTGCGCCCTGTTGCCAGCCCTGCTTAACCGTAACTTGCCCAGAGCCGAGCGGTGGGCCAGGGGTCGCGACGAACGTGCTTTATAATAAAGCCCAGGCCTGTGCCGCCTCCCGTGCTCTATCCTTTTGGGGTTCCCATTTTACACCCAAGGGAAACGGACTTTGGGGATGACGTACAAAAACCAAGACTGCTTGGTCGAGATGGCCAGTAGTGCCGGCTGCTGGTCGTGGAGGGGGCAGGGTGCAACTGGACCCCAGAGACCTACAGGCCCTTATCTCTAATATGGTAATTGGGAGCCGCGGTCCGGCCGACTGCTGGAATTCCGCGCTCTGCAAACCGTGCCGCGGCTCCCCAGGGGGGGTCACTTGCTCCTATTTGGGTCAGTCCTTGTGAGCAGCTACTGTGTGGCCGGCCTGGGGCCAGCGCTGCTCAGGGACCTGGCAGGGCACGCGGGGTGGAGCGGTGCGATCACTGGGGAACCTGGAGCAGGGCTCAAAGTTCAGTTCCAAGATTTATTGGAGCCCCCTATAGCCCAAGCCAGTGCTTTGTACAGATGGATTGCGCCATAGCTCAGCTAGAAGCTTCCTGGAACCTGGGAGGGAGCGGCTCCCTATAGTAGTAAGAGCTCAGGAAGTTCAGTTAAGAGCTGTAACTTGAAGGTGAGGCACGGACTTGGGACGGTCACTCTCAGCGGTGGAAACTATGGGGACCGAGAGGACACACCTGGATGTTGGGAGTTTCTCTTGTTTTGAAGACTCTCCAACGGAGCGTTTGGGAGGTGGGCCAGTCAAGAATATGGCAATCTACTGCTCAGGGGACTCAGAATACAGGAGAGTTGCAGATCTGGAAACAGGACGAGGTCTGACAGCAGGATGAAGGCTTGGGCATTGGTACCGAATCTGAGGAAGGGCTCAGGGCAGAGGTCTCAGAGCTGGGAAGCCCAACCCTGGCCACCCTGTTTCCCTGGCCTCCCCACCCCTCTGTTTGCCTGAGGCTCCAGCAAAAACAAAGCAAAGAAAACACTTCATTGGCAGGAGATAAGCCTAGATAAGAGGCTGCCTTCCTCTGGAGGGAGCAGCCAGTCCCCAACTGCCAGGAAGCTGGGAGAGGCCTTGAAGAGATGCCAGCCTGCCCCTATTGCAGTGCCTGGCCTGCTCTGTCCAGCCTGGTCTCTGGTGCTTCTGGAGTCCCTTGTATGGAGCAGGTTCTTCAGGGCGACGAAGACAGGTCTACACAGAGGCCATCCTGCCTCCAGGCAGGTCTGCTCTTAGCTGTGGCCTGGCACTCCTGGCTTCCACTCCACTCCATGCCTATTTCGTTATCTGTAAAACAGGCCAAACATCTCCCTCACAGGAGTGAGGGGGCTTCAGGGCATCCCAGACCCCGCAACAGCCATTGGACTGCCAGCTTCCCTTCTAGGGTCATGGACCCTACCCTCAGCTCCAACCCTGTATGAGGCCCTCAGCAACTATGGCGGAAGATGTTGGGTGCTTGGGTCATATCAGGCAACAGGAAGGGGGGCAGGGAAGGCTTCCTGAAGCAGGGTCTGAGCCTGGGCACAGAGGGATAGAGAGAGGCTCAGGGAGAGGAGACTAATGGGAAGAGGGAAGCCAGGGGCCCAGGGCAGAGACAGAAAGGCCTAGGGGAAGCCAGAGCCTGCTTTGGCAGTGAGGAAGGTCACCACAGGCCTTGGGCAAGGCAGCCAAGTTCACACCTTTGCTAGGGGGTCTGACCACAATGCCACAGCCCATTTAATAGATGGGGAAACTGAGGAAATGGCAGCACTAGATCTAAGGCCTAGAGTGTTCTTACTCAAACCACACCACACACAGGGTCCCTAAAATCCACTTTTATTCATGTAAAAAAAAAAAAAAATCCCCAAAGAATACAGGGTGTGGCCCCTGCCCAAAGCTCCAGCTCTCCACCTAGTGCTCTTGGGGGAGTGGGGGGACTTTGGCTCAGGTAGGTGCCATGGGGGGTGCAATCCCCAGCCCCTTCCCTAGGCCTGAGGTTAGAAGAGGAAGCTGGCGACTGCTGGAAACCCAGGAAAATGAAGGGAGTTAGTGTGAGGCATTTGCCCCAGCTTTAAAAAAATAAAATTTCTAAAGATAAAAGGTTAAAAAAAACCCAAAGAAGGCCGGGCGTGGTGGTGCACGCCTTTAATCCCAGCACTCAGGAAGCAGAGGCAGGCGGATCTCTGTGAGTTCAAGGCCAGCCTGTTCTA